TGTTAAGTGAGTTGTGCCCCATTTTATGACTTTTTTGCCACAGTTGTTAAGCAAATCACTGCAGTTATTAAATGAATCATGTAGTTGTTAAGTGAATCTGGCTTCCCCATTGACTTTGTTTGTTGGAAAGCAGCTGGGAAAGTTACAAATGGTGATTACATGATCTTGAGGCAGAGCAACTTTCATAAATACATGCCAATTGCCAAGCACCTGCGTTTTGATCACATGAGCACGGGGATGCTGCAGCAGTCGTAAGTGTGAAAAAGAGAAGTCACTTTTTTCAATGCCATTTTAATTTCAAATGGTTACTAAACAAATGGTTTTAAGTTGAGGACTACTTGTCTGTGGAAATTCTCAGTCATCCAGGTCATGGTTGTCTCAAAGGTGTTTTTTGTTTCGCTTCTCATCCAAGAAGCTTTGTCAGTTCAGGAACTGACAGAAGCTTCTTGGATGAGAAATGAAACATTTTCAAGGAAAAAAACAACAAGAAAGTCTAGTTGCCTTTTGAGAATTACTTGTATTCAAGTAGCCTCTTATAAATGAGAGAAAACTAAACTTTTTCTATTGTCTGGCTGTATTAAAACTTATTTCACTTCTTTTGAATTTTATTTTGAAAAAAAAATTGAAAATTTATTATGAAAACTATTATGTAATTGCTAGATGTGTGAAAGAGAGAAAGAATGAGAACAAATCAATAATAGGATTATCAAGTAAACATACAGTAGGCCTAAGTGTCATCCAGTTCTGTTTATTGGAAAAATAAATGAGCTGTACAATATGATACTCTATATCCAGAGCTAGATATTACTGAATTTTCTATGCTCATTATAAAATAGAAGCTAGACTTTACAGTTTTATTACAAATAATGAAGTTTTAAAAACCACAAGACTTTTGGGGGCAGGAAATGAGAATGGTTTTTACTTCAAGGAACCATTTTATAGATTGTAGTTACCTGTAGAACAGTTCACACATTTCTATTTTGCTATCCTGAAATAGTATTTTTTAATATCCATTTACAGTTATTTAAGGGTCCCTGCGTGCTTAAAACAGCATCTGAATATAGATACTTTTTTTCTCTCTCTCTCTCTCTCTCTCTTAAATAAAGCTATATCACAACTTGAATGTTCCATCAATGCAGAAGAATGAGAGGGGAGTTATAGCCGGAACAATATGTAAAAATACTGCTCGTAAAAAAAAGCCTTTATTAACTGTCATCATCCCCAGAATATATGTTCAAATAAATGTTGTGTAATAACTAAATTTGAGATTAATAGGTCCCTTAAGAAATGGTGAAGTCATTCAGGATAGTCAGTGAAAAATAGGCTGCAAGAATGTAAAATGCACATATTGTCCTGCTTGCATGCTCTCTCTGGTGTCCTTCCCATTTGTCAATGTCGGCAAGCTCTGTTCTCATTAAAACATTCGTGCACAAAAGAAACTTAATTTTCTTAAGAGGAAAGGACACCTGATTCAATTTAGCATCTGCAGCCAATAACTTGAATATATATTCTTTTTCAGCCTGGAGTCAAACAAATAGTGATGAGTGGCAACTGAAATAAAATACACTGCTTTTTAACCAATCACCATTATTTTTGCAGCCTCTAAGGTATGCGCTTTGCAGACTAGAGGAAACACCCGCTTCTTAAAAATTGCAGTTAACATTTAACTGGGATAATAATCCTTTTTATTCCAAAACAAGATTTTTCACAAGCTAAATAAGGCAATCATAGTTTTTAGACCTCTTCACATTATAATATGTAGTAGATTTTACCTATCTAACACTAAAAGCATCTTGTATTCATATGCTTCCAAGGTAGTGGCCACCCAGTATGGTTTCAAGCTGTAAGATGCAAACATTTATGTACCACAAATATTTATACTGTTTTGTTATGTTAAATTAATGCATATAATGCATTTATCCCATGCCTAAACCAGAGAGAGTAGTGATAAATAACAGTAACTGCAATTTTATGATAGCCAGAATATTCAGACACAGTAAAAAAAACTAGCCCAAGTAGGCATATTACAGGATTGCAGTCCATACTGCTTATAGTCATTTCTTTTTGGTCAGTATAAATTTCTTTGAATTTTGTGCTACTAATTATCTACCCTTTTATGCCTAGTATTAAATTTTATATCTAGAATTAATTTTTGTAAGTGTGGCATTTTTATTTTATTGCTAGAATTAGTATATGTGTAGTGCATATGCTTAACCTAAGAGAGAATTAATTTCAGGAACATTTTTAAGCATGTACTAGGGGAAAAAGGGTGAAGGTTACCCTACACAGTATTTTCAATCAAATGAAAACATTAATTCATGACTTGTATTGACCACTGAAAAATTAACAGTATTGATTTCTAAATATTCCAGAGAAGAATTACAATTCTATACTTTTCTTCCCAAAGTGATAGGTAAATATTATGCCAATTTGCCTTATTAAATGATTTGCTACACGTCTGTTAGTTCTAAGCCAGGATTTGGTTTTGTTTGTGTGCAATCAAAAGCAGAGAAGTGGGATGAGTCTTCAGTTACTTTTGCCTGTTGTAATTGCTGAAGTACACAATATGAGGATTCAGAAATGGGTTTTTCTTTAGTTATTTTAGCTGTTCCCAATTTCCTCTTTCATTATTACTTGCCAGTGGTTTGGCAGACTTTATTCTGTGCATTTCATTTGACCATGTTTCCCAGGAAAAATGATGTGGAATAAAACCAAAATTCTGCTAAGGATAAAGAAAAGAAGGACACCAAGTAATATCAGAGTTTTTCTAATCCCTCTGAAATCTTAAATATCTTAAGGTTTGGGCCTTATAAGGCTTAGTACCTGTTACAAACCTGCTTTGTGACTTAGATTAACAGGAGAGGCTCTCTTTAAGATTCTCCAGCTGTGACTGATGCTGCAGATCTGTCTGCTATGCAGGAGACGGCCTACTTATTGTAGCTCCCAAGCTAAGGAATGCTCTCCCCAGGAAGACGTATTTGGCTACCATTCATTGAATGGTCTGAAAGAAAATAGCAAAAAATACAGTAATAGACTACAAGCTACGTTTTTTGTGAAACATATACAATATAGCCAGAAATAGCTGTTGTTCAGTGGTTAACTGTTGTATTTCTTTCTATCTTTAAACTACCTAAACAAAAAAATAAAAAGCCCCTTCAAAAAAATCATATATAATATATAATTAAGACAACATAATCCATTAAATGTTCAGGAGAAGAAAATGTTGAGTGCCTAAAATATAACATGGTATCAAATACCTCTAGGTCTGTAATGCATCCAAGAAATTTTGCTCTCAAGGGCCTCCTCGTTTGGTCCATATTTTAAGAAATTCAGTCATAACATTCAGTCATCAATTCATGTTTAGCCCATATCCTTCCCATCATAATGTCAGGGATGACTATTTGAATACAGATAGAATTCATGAATCCATTCTACAAGCACTGTAATGTGCCGTTCAAGGCAGGAGGATACCAGAAGAGATCTTGGGAGATGATTAGAAGAATAGGAACAGTCCTGTAAGAACAGGTGATTCTTCAGATACCTGAACTTAACTTAAACCACATTGCTTCATATGTCATAGATTATTTCCTCAAGGTTTATCAAGGTGTGGAATTGCAAGTTGAAATCCTAATGTTACATTCTGACTCGTTAAACCATATCATGTTTATTGATTGTTGCAAAGATAATTATTTGGACTGGTTCCTCCTCCTCGTGTTCAAAGGCAGATGCTGATAAAGTAGAGGTGTGAAAATACTTTGTTGTAGTTTTATAACTGTCAACTGTGATGTTTTATTTAGCTGTTTCTATTCAGAAGCTCTCCCCACAACATGGAACGCCATATGCCATTGTCCTTTTTAGCAAGCAAGCAAACAAGGGCAGCAAAGCAAAACAAAATATTACAAGACTGTGCTTGCTTGTGTATGGGCCACTGAGCCCTGTGGTCCAGGGCTATCTTTTATTGATAAGGCCAGCCAAGGATGACTCTAATGAAATTATCAAAGCTTTGAATAAATTATGAACTTGAATAAGAAAGCTAAGCTCTCTGGAGCCAAGCATCTCATTAGCCATTCATTTTCATTACATTCTCATAATAGAGCAGTAGGTTCTACTCAGCGTAGCCTGTGTTTTGGACTGGGTTCAAACTTTTCAAGCTCTTTCAAAAATCTTTTTACTCTATGGCTGGAAGATGTCCTTGGTGGTAACTTTGATTCTGCTTCTGTTTTCCATGTAAATGGCACGTTTTCTTTTCTCTGCCCCCCCCCTTTTTTTTTATGCTGTACTTGTTTCTACATCATCGGACTGGATGCCATGGAAGAATTCCTTCCTTTATGGTAAACTTGAAGCTTGACAAGATTTAAGCATTTTCTGTTTCTCAGAATCTAGTAGTTTGTCAGAATGCTTTTCCCCAACATTATTTCTTGGATATTTAGGTAAGCTAAACATTTCTTCAAACTGAGTTGAGTTGTTTATTTTTCTTTTTTCTTTTTCTTTTTGCTGGATTCATTATATTCTTTCTGGCCTTTGGAATTAAAGCACATAGAAAAATTGTAATTTTACTGCAGTATATATTCAGCTAAATGCTTATAGCAAAATGTAAATTCAGTATTCTACTTGAAATACACTAAAATATACTTAAATATATATTCTGTTCAGATAAGCATCATACTATTAATTACATATTATATTATTTTTCTACTGACTTCCTTTTAAAAAATAAGTCTACCTGTGCTTTTCCTATAAGGAATTTTGTAAAGCATAAACATGGTAATTGATGTTTTTTTAACAACTTCCTTTATAGATTTTTAAGCTGTCCAATGAGTATAAAAGTGAAATGCGAATTGTAAACATAAATAATAAAATAACTATTATCTGAAATGTGACTTTTCATAGGCTATTTGCAATGGTTTTAAATGGCAGTAGTTTACTAGAATATATAAATTAAGTTCAGTATTATACATGAAACAGCAAGATTATTATTGATGTTTCTTTCATTCTTTTAGGCAGCTGCTATATTTAACTCAGCCTTTGGAAGTTTTTTGGTAAGTAATATTACCTTCCAATATTGTTTCAAAGCCTTACTGTACATTTTTAACTATTACTGTATATTGAATTAAATTGCTATTATCATATATCATGCTTCTCTTTTAAATACATAAGCTTACATTTCTTTCCAGTATCTACAGCTTTCCAGAAAATTAGTGCGTGAATAATCTTTGATCAATATAATTTAATGATGCTTAAGTACATGTTAATAGTCTTCTTAATGAGGAGACAATCCATTACTATTCAGACATTTGGGAGGCTAGTGTCAATATATTGATTTTCTAATGAGGTTTATCACACAGTCATTACTTTCTATTAAGATGCCATGGTTTTTTAAAGGAATATGGCTCAGATGATGAGAGAAGCAATGCTAATTCACTGGGTGATAAGTCACATGATTAGCATATTTTGCTGCCAGAGAACAAGCTTATTCTACATCCCAAGGGAAACTAATGGAAGGAGTAAAAATAACTGGGCCATTCAAAATATAATTTCTGAGTGTACATTTTAGCATCTCCAAGCACAATATACTGTAAAACATACAAAAAAGGAATCTCAGTAATAATTTCCCTTCTTTAGTGCATTATACAAATCAAATATCTGGGCATATTTTTGCATGAAGTTATATTTTTATAATGTAAACTGTTTATCTTCGCTATAGTCCAAATCTTTTTTATTAATGGTATTAGTAAATACATAATATAAAGATGCATGAAAATGCTCTTTATAGATCATGAATGCTTACTAATAGATTAAAATCGATGTACAAAAATGCTCTAAGGAATGTTACACAAGATTGATAATTAGAAATGCGCTTGTATTAAGATGTGTTATTGATGTTAAAAATTTTAACTCAAAATATCTGGCATTTTTAAATTGTTCTCATTTTCTTTAGGATGTAAATTAACTTGGATACCCAGGATTGTTAGTTTTCTGTTCATCAAAGGCTGGTTTTGCGGGTATATCATGTGTAGAAAAGAACTATTTCTAGGACTGGGAAGATGGAGTAGCAATTACTGTGGGAATCTGAATCATTGGTTTAGGAGTAATGCAGTATAAATGGCTATATGTGAAGGGTCAAGATACCTTACAAGACCCCTTCCTGAGCTTCTTGCTGTTTGGGGGTTCCTCCAGCTTCTATTCATTTAGGGAGATTCAGGGAGAACTCAGGTATATGTGACTTCTATTACAACTATGAATTTGTCCCAAGTGCACATAAGCAGATGTACTTTGGATTTCCTTTTTCTCTTTAAAGAATTGATGTTTGATCTGAATATTGAGGACATTAGGCTAGGTCCTTTGTCTTCCTGATCTAGATGAGATTGTGGCTATCACACTGAAGCTTGAAATGGTCTGTTAAAAGGGTTCCTCCCAGACACAGATGGTAATTTCCCCAAGTTATTGGTAGTAGTTCCACTGAGCACCTGGATAGAGTAATGGAATTGGGAAGCAATTTAAGCCTTTGGAATAATTGCTCCTGAGTAACTTCCTTTGACTGATACTTAGTAGCACTTAATTTCTCCAAGAGAAGAAGTGACAGAAGTAATACCTGGAATGTGATAGAGGAACACAGAATTAGACTAAACTGGTTTATTATTTAAGTCTGTACCATGGTGGTAAGAGTAGTGAAATAGTGAATTTTCTCTGCTTTTCTGTGCTTTTATAGTGGCATTTCCATTTGGTGATTTTCTTTAAGATTGCTTCTTCTGTATTAGGGAATGATGGGCAGGAAATCTCAATTCCTAATGCAAAATGTTGCTGATAAAGTCTCTTCTATTTACTCTCTGTTGGTAGAGTCATAAATGCTTGGGATAACATCTGGCAATATTATCTTTCAACTTGGGAAATGGATATTCCTTAGCATGACCTCTGCCATCTTCAAGCTTAATTCATGCCCCTGTCACTCCTTTAGGAGAATGACATGTGGTCTGATAAACGTTTCTTTGAGGGAGAGAGGCATGATGTCCTGTGTTGAAGATCACAGTGGTGATCCTCTTTTCAGCAAGCCATCTCTGAACCTGTATGTTTTAAATATGAATTGTCCAGTGTCCAACTCTGGGAAGTTTATTGAGAATGTATCAAGGAGTCGGCTACAGAAAGCTGGAGAGGAAGTGTTTTATCTGGCCTCTTTTCACTCTGCATTCAGGCTTAGATATAGAATGAAAATGACATTGGTCACTCTAATACACAGGTGTCAAACTCACTGTGTCATATGACGTGTCATGACGTATTGTGACTTTTTTCGCATTGCCGGAGCTGGGGTGGGCGCAGCCTCTGCATGATGCAACTGGACCATGGGCCGGCAGTTTGACACCCCTGCTCTAATACATGAGCCTTGTCATGTCTTAAGTGGGATGAGTGTACTTATTCTGACGTTATTAGATTTTGCAGTAACATATTTCTGTTAATCATGGTATCCTTATTGAACTACCTGAAAAGATTGGGGGTTGGAGCATCATGGTACAGTGGTTCTACTTCTTCCTTACTGGGTAGTTTCAATCAGTGGTAATAGGGAGGAGAAGCCAATCTGTTAAGAACTTTCTTATGGAATACCCATTCTTCCCCCTACTTTTTCACATACATGAAATTACTGATGGAAATCCATCAGTTCAGTGTGAAATATGAACAATATGCTGATTATAGACAGCTATAATTCACCCTAGGCAAAGCTGGACATGCTATGGAGAGAGATCTTGACCAAGTAGATGTAGCCTGTTATAGTCAGACTGAACTGCTACAAGACAAAGTTGCTGTTGTTCAAACAGGATCTCTGCGTGCTTTGAGTGTAACTCTGAGTGGGATAACACCTTTCCTGAAGGAGCAGGTTTGCAGCTTGAGGGTACTCCTGGACCCATGCTAAAACTCAGTAGGCAGGTTGTGACAGAGGGAGGTTTGCCTAGCTTCTACTATTGTACTAATTTTGGCCCTATCTGAAGTGGGAGGCCCTGGCAATAGAGATTCACGCTCTTGTTTATTTATTTACTAAGGCTTATATGCTATTCCAATTAAAAGTGACTGTAGCAGCAAATACTTAATACAGTAACAAGATTTAAATATTAAATATAACAACATAATGATAAAGTAAT